CAATACCTTTCTATCTCGTCTCCAAGTTAATGTAAAAAATCGTTAAAAAATGGTCTCTGAACGAGAGTGACGGTCGCTGAACGAGAAATGGTGATATTTATATAGGCTGCCGGTTGGGCAGAGGCGTGGATGCGCTTGAACAGTGTGGGAAACAGCGGCTGCAACACCACTACAACGTCGAATTCAGTCTCATTCTATTTGTTTCTGTATCCTTAAGATGTTCATCTACATTTCTTGTGCAGACAATACCTTTCTATCTCGTCTCCAAGTTAGTGTAAAAAATGGTTAAAAAATGGTCTCTGAACGAGAGTGACGGTCGCTGAACGAGAAATGGTGATATTTATATAGGGCTGCCGTGGTTGGGCAGAGAGTGGATGCGCTTGAACAGTGTGGGACGCAGCGGCTGCAACACCACTACAACGTCGAATTCAGTCTCATTCTATTTTTTTCTGTATACTTAAGATGTTCATCTACATTTATTGTGCAGACAATACCTTTCAATCTCGTCTCCAAGTTAGTGTAAAAAATCGTTAAAAGATGGTCTCTGAACGAGAGTGACGGTCGCTGAACGAGAAATGGTGATATTTATATAGGGCTGCCGTGGTTGGGCAGAGAGTGGATGCGCTTGAACAGTGTGGGAAACAGCGGCTGCAACACCACTACAACGTCGAATTCAGTCTCATTCTATTTTTTTCTGTATACTTAAGATGTTCATCTACATTTCTTGTGCAGACAATACCTTTCTATCTCGTCTCCAAGTTAGTGTAAAAAATGGTTAAAAAATGGTCTCTGAACGAGAGTGACGGTCGCTGAACGAGAAATGGTGATATTTATATAGGGCTGCCGTGGTTGGGCAGAGAGTGGATGCGCTTGAACAGTGTTGGAAACAGCGGCTGCAACACCACTACAACGTCAAATTCAGTCTCATTCTATTTTTATCTGTATCCTTAAGATGTTCATCTACATTTCTTGTGCAGACAATACCTTTCTATCTCGTCTCCAAGTTAGTGTAAAAAATGGTTAAAAAATGGTCTCTGAACGAGAGTGACGGTCGCTGAACGAGAAATGGTGATATTTATATAGGGCTGCCGTGGTTGGGCAGAGAGTGGATGCGCTTGAACAGTGTGGGACGCAGCGGCTGCAACACCACTACAACGTCGAATTCAGTCTCATTCTATTTTTTTCTGTATACTTAAGATGTTCATCTACATTTATTGTGCAGACAATACCTTTCTATCTCGTCTCCAAGTTAGTGTAAAAAATGGTTAAAACATGGTCTCTGAACGAGAGTGGCGGTCGCTGAACGAGAAATGGTGATATTTATATAGGGCTGCCGTGGTTGGGCAGAGAGTGGATGCGCTTGAACAGTGTGGGGAAACAGCGGCCGCAACAACCACTACAACGTCGAATTCAGTCTCATTCTATTTTTTTCTGTATACTTAAGATGTTCATCTACATTTATTGTGCAGACAATACCTTTCTATCTCGTCTCCAAGTTAATGTAAAAAATGATTAAAAGATGGTCTCTGAACGAGAGTGGCGGTCGCTGAACGAGAAATGGTGATATTTATATAGGGCTGCCGTGGTTGGGCAGAGAGTGGATGCGCTTGAACAGTGTGGGAAACAGCGGCTGCAACACCACTACAACGTCGAATTCAGTCTCATTCTATTTTTTTCTGTATCCTTAAGATGTTCATCTACATTTATTGTGCAGACAATACCTTTCTATCTCGTCTCCAAGTTAGTGTAAAAAATGGTTAAAAGATGGTCTCTGAACGAGAGTGACGGTCGCTGAACGAGAAATGGTGATATTTATATAGGGCTGCCGTGGTTGGGCAGAGAGTGGATGCGCTTGAACAGTGTGTGGGAAACAGCGGCTGCAACACCACTACAACGTCGAATTCAGTCTCATTCTATTTTTTTCTGTATCCTTAAGATGTTCATCTACATTTATTGTGCAGACAATACCTTTCTATCTCGTCTCCAAGTTAGTGTAAAAAATGGTTAAAAGATGGTCTCTGAACGAGAGTGACGGTCGCTGAACGAGAAATGGTGATATTTATATAGGGCTGCCGTGTTTGGGCAGAGAGTGGATGCGCTTGAACAGTGTGGGAAACAGCGGCTGCAACACCACTACAACGTCGAATTCAGTCTCATTCTATTTTTTTCTGTATACTTAAGATGTTCATCTACATTTATTGTGCAGACAATACCTTTCTATCTCGTCTCCAAGTTAATGTAAAAAATGATTAAAAAATGGTCTCTGAACGAGAGTGACGGTCGCTGAACGAGAAATGGTGATATTTATATAGGGCTGCCGTGGTTGGGCAGAGAGTGGATGCGCTTGAACAGTGTGGGAAACAGCGGCTGCAACACCACTACAACGTCGAATTCAGTCTCATTCTATTTTTTTCTGTATCCTTAAGATGTTCATCTACATGTATTGTGCAGACAATACCTTTCTATCTCGTCTCCAAGTTAGTGTAAAAAATGGTTAAAAGATGGTCTCTGAACGAGAGTGACGGTCGCTGAACGAGAAATGGTGATATTTATATAGGGCTGCCGTGGTTGGGCAGAGAGTGGATGCGCTTGAACAGTGTTGGAAACAGCGGCTGCAACACCACTACAACGTCAAATTCAGTCTCATTCTATTTTTATCTGTATCCTTAAGATGTTCATCTACATTTATTGTGCAGACAATACCTTTCTATCTCGTCTCCAAGTTAGTGTAAAAAATCGTTAGAAAATGGTCTCTGAACGAGAGTGTCGGTCGCTGAACGAGAAATGGTGATATTTATATAGGGCTGCCGTGGTTGGGCAGAGAGTGGATGCGCTTGAACAGTGTGGGACGCAGCAGCTGCAACACCACTACAACGTCGAATTCAGTCTCATTCTATTTTTTTCTGTATCCTTAAGATGTTCATCTACATTTATTGTGCAGACAATACCTTTCTATCTCGTCTCCAAGTTAGTGTAAACAATCGTTAAAAAATGGTCTCTGAACGAGAGTGACGGTCGCTGAACGAGAAATGGTGATATTTATATAGGGCTGCCGTGGTTGGGCAGAGAGTGGATGCGCTTGAACAGTGTGGGACGCAGCGGCTGCAACACCACTACAACGTCGAATTCAGTCTCATTCTATTTTTTTCTGTATACTTAAGATGTTCATCTACATTTATTGCGCAGACAATACCTTTCTATCTCGTCTCCAAGTTAGTGTAAAAAATCGTAAAAAAATGGTCTCTGAACGAGAGTGACGGTCGCTGAACGAGAAATGGTGATATTTATATAGGGCTGCCGTGGTTGGGCAACACCACTACAACGTCGAATTCAGTTTCATTCTATTTTTTCAGTGTGTTCACTGTGTTGTATTAGAGCAACAGGGTTAAACGTTTGGAAACAGGGGACTTTTTCTTGTCACAGAGTACTTAAAAGGTACATGAACTTGTGACCTCACCCCATGGGATATGTTTTGCGACCTGTATTTCTTTTCTATAATGCACCGTTGCTATAGTCATTTGTGAATCGTGGAGCCAAAGGTTCGATTTTGTTTAAGGCATAGTGTGAATATGTATTTTCAATTTGAACCGAAAAGTACAGACTAAAATCTTTAAAATAGTTAACGGGTACTTCAATTTGATAGGTGCCCAGGAAACATTTTACTACCGTTTGGTTTTTGATAATGGGCGAAAAGGGTAGTGTACACACAGATGAAACAATTACAATTTATTCTATTATGCAACTGGAAACACGAAATAGGATATATTAAGCATACATAAATTTATCTGGGTTCAGCATAAATAAATTTATATGGGTTCGATGAGAGGGACGCGCTAACCGCGCACGTGCATTTTGCGCCGCGCATAGAAAACAACAGTTACACGGAATAACACGCGCGATATGGGGAGGTGTACCACTCGATAAATGTGGTCCGCCACTGTGGTCGCTGAACGAGAGTGAAATAGCGACGACCTGGGCCATGTTTATCCCGGAAGTACTATAAAAATATGTAAAGCAAAAATAACGGAATATGATAACATATTATATTCTTTGACGGGTTAATCAAAATAGGTAATGTGCAGAAACCTAACCATGAACTGCCCATAATCTCATGAAAAATATTTTTTTGTATAAGATAACAACATTTTTCTTATAAACGACAATCATTTGTTTCCGTATTAAATCACATTCCACTTTACACTATACATTCAGTGAACATGGGTTTCATCGTTTTCTGTGTTGTCAGTTCATATACGTTCTGAGTTAAACATGTAGTAAAGTGTTTGTTGTATTGGATCAGTAAAAGTAACTCTAGTTGTATCGGTAAGCATGTTATTCATCTATTTTTTTATTTCTCTGAAGTGGCAGCAGACAGGCATACTTTTTAAGCCAAGACTACGTCCTGATATAGCGTACAGGTTCAATGAGGTTGCTGTGTCTTGGTTTCAACTTTCATTACCTGATCACTCTGCTCGCAATTATTCTAGTTCTACGTACTTGTGTGTGGTTTCATATGATTTTCACCTCTTCACAAAATTATAACCATTTGAATACATTTGTGTTTTATGATTAAACATTGCTATAAGCTGCATGAATTATGGTGAAATTACAGAAGTCTCTGCCTAGGTAGTGCTTATTCTAGGGTCAAGAGTGATGTTGTTATCATGCTCACTGAACATATTGAAGTATTATGTTTGACTTGATCAGTTTAAGTAGTCAAAGTGAGCATTGCACATTTTAATATATTTCAGATAAGTAAGCTATGGGTAAAGACCGCATTCCACCTGACACCAGCTCCCCATCAACAAGTCACCACCACACAGAAGGTAAAAGGAGACAAGCAGCTGCTAATGCTGATCACCAAGGGTTTAAAAAATGGAAGAAGAAAAGAAAACAATATGTCGCCAACAGTTCTGCATCCCATGGAAGACACTGTGACCAGTCCAACAAAAGGAGTCAGTCTACCATGTCATCTCAAAGGTATCACAAGAAGAAAAGTAAGTCTCAGCCAGGAGACAAAGAGTGTTGAAGACACCTCCAGTGATGCATATTCTTCAAAGAGCCAGGCTTCACAAGCTCCTCATATCCTTTACATACCACTGTTAAAAAGCATACAGTGAAAGTGTAAAATTGCTGTTGTGATGTAAAGCAGTATTTTTTCATTATACGTTTTCAATGCATGCCATGATTATTCCAGGAAAGGAAAGGTCCCAAGTAGTATGGGGACTCCCTGGTACTCAATGGTAGTCATACTCAGGAAGAGCTGACAACATGAGGATAAGGCAGTAACAATATGTGGCTAGTCTAGTTATTTCGTATACATGTTATAGTGCACTAACAGCTTTGTCTGTCTCATGTACTGTCAATCACCCATTTGCCCAAACTGTTGTTTACAGGTCATCTTGGTATAGTGAGGTAGCAATATTCCAGCACTGTCACTTTCGGAGAACACCAGAAATGGGCTTCACACATTGTACTGATGTAGGGAATCAAACCTGGGTCTTTGAATTCAGCGTGACAAGCAGACACTATAACCATTATGCTACCCCACAGCCTCCGTCGTGATGAAACTGGAATATAGCTGACTAGAAAGTAAAAAAACCCATTTGTTCAAACTTCATGTTTATTTACTGCTCCTGTATAAGATTTTCAAAATAGAATAGAGCTGATTTAAATTGATGATCACAATAAAGTTACCATGTTGATTATAGTAGAATACTGAAAACAACTGGCTTGTCTTATTCAGTTTTGATAAGTTGTGATATTGTTGGAATATTGCTAAAAGCAATGTGGAGTAGAACACAACTCACTCACTCCTGCTCAGGATATACCTGGCTAATTGTTCCAGCTTTATTACAATGGCAGATTGTCCTTAACACTGAGCACAGATACCAGGCTTCTACTACGACCCTGATCAGAAGAAGTACTTCAAGATCCTTTCCAGTAATAACAATGTGAATGTTGTCACAAAGGAAAAGATTGCAAGGGATCAAGCAGAAAAACAGAGACTTAAAGATTTGTCTGAACTTGTGTCTTCAAATCGACTTAACTCTAATCCTAACTTGCCAAAACTGACAAGCAATGTAGTTCACATACTCTGTAGAAATGAAAGAGGTGGTATTGGTCGGACACAGCTTGAGAATCAGATGGTGGTGTCAGACATTAGGTCTCTGAAGCCAGCTGGGTCTTGGGTTGTGTTTGATGATCCTCATGGAGTTCATGAAGCCCTGGAGCACATGATCATGATGGACACTAGCAAGGAGAAGGACAAGATCCTTGGACTGTGGTCGGTGAAGGAGACGGTGATGCAGAGGCTGCAACTGTTGCATCTTGAGGAGAAGCAGAGGACGGAAACCAGTGCTACACTCTCGGTTGATGTCGGTGCTACAGGGACTACTGTTCTTCAGTCTTGGAATAAAATCTCTAACGTATGTTGGGCTCCATTTATCAAGTCTCCCGATCGAAACCATGTGTTGTACACCACAATATGCCATACTGGCAACTCATGTAGTTTAGCTTTTATCAGGAACCTGGACAGGACTCGGCGCCAGGAGGAGTACTTTGATTTTGATCTTGGGCCCAGGGCGACCTGGACGTGCGCGTGGAACTATCCCCGGCAACAGTTTAGTGTGGGCAGTGAGAAGTGCTCACTGTTGGTGGACGTGGAGACGAGGAGGATGTGGGAGTTTCCATGTTCAAGTGATCCCTTTGCCCAGATATTCTCACCCAATGTGAGTAACGCAAATGATCATGTTGAGGAGGGATTTGTGTTGAATTTGTGAATAAATATTGTGATAGAAGAAGAATATACCCAGTGTCCCTACCATCAGCAATTATTAACGAACATTGTCATAGTTTACTTTGAAATCAAATTTCACGTATGTTTTGTGTCTTAACATCTTAAGCATTGTATACAAATATAGAAGCTCACCCAAATGTCTTTTGATATATGTTGATAAAAAGTCCAAATGGTAAGCGTGGTAACATTCTAGATATCATCCAACATGTCCAAAATAATTCTTCCAACTTTCTCAATTTGTAATTGGTGATGTGCAGTGTCATTACTGTGAAAAGTACATCTAACCAGCTTCAGTAACAGTGATGATTAATGTCATTTGGTTGTGGCATCATGTTAACTGATGTTAGTAATGTCTTCTGTTTGTGACATCATGGTAACTGAAGATATTATTAATGTCATTTGATTGTGACATTTAACTCACGATATTATTAATGTTCTTTGATTGTGACATCATAGCAACTGACGATGTTATTAATGGCATTTGATTGTGACATCATAATATCTGATGATAATGTTATTGAAGGAAAACCGAGTTCTATGGATAGTCAACTTCTTTATTGCAATGAGTGCGTCGTTTCGTTGCAATAAAGAAGTTGACTATCCATAGAACTTGGTTTTCCTTCATCTATGCAACTTATAAAATGCCTCTCAAAGAAGATAACAGTTTTGTCGCCAAAGCATTGTGATGCTATTCCACCATAGCAGCATCGCTTGGGAGATATTGCTTGATCCCAACCAAGTGATATTTCCTGTGGAAGCCAGTGTTTTATGATAACTGTATTACCTTCTACTATGTTACAGTCAGGACAAATCCTGTACAGTGGTGGGAGAAATGGGGCCATCTTGTGCCATGATCTTCGCAACCTCCCAACTCAACCAAACTCCTACCTCGGACACAAAACAAGCATTTCCTCTCTCAGGATTAGCAGTTCGGAGAATGAATTGTTCTCAAGTGACATTTCAGGGAGGGTTAGTATTCTGTTTGCAAAATACTGATGAAGTGTGCTTTTAGAAAATTTCCTCTTTTTCTCATGGGTATTATTGATGGTTGTTAAACAGAAGAGCTGTTCTTCAATGTAGGTGAAGATGTGGGATGTACGCATGCAGCAGGCTGTGATTGAGTATTCCGGACTCTTCAACCGTTACAGTCGGATACCACTACACCTGGATGAGACAGAGCAGGTGTTGTATGGAGGTGAGTTGATGAGAGGACAGGTGTTGTATGGAGGTGAGTTGATGAGGGAGCAGGTGTTGTATGGAGGTGAGTTAATGAGGAGGCAGGTGTTGTATATGGTGAGTTGATAAGATAGCAGGTGTTGTATGGAGGTGAGTTGATGAGATAGCAGGTGTTGTATGGAGGTGAGTTAATGAGGGAGCAGGTGTTGTATATGGTGAGTTGATAAGAAAGCAGGTGTTGTAATAGAGGTGAGTTGATGAGATAGCAGGTGTTGTATGGAGGTTTGTTGATGAGATAGCAGGTGTTGTATGGAGGTGAGTTGATGAGAGAGCAGGTGTTGTATGGTGGTGAGTTAATGAGAGAGCAGGTGTTGTATATGGTGAGTTGATAAGAGAGCAGGTATTGTAACAGAGGTGAGTTGATGAGAGAGCAGGTATTGTATGGAGGTGAGTTAATGAGGGAGCATGTGTTGTATATGGTGAGTTGATAAGAGAGCAGGTATTGTATGGAGGTGAGTTAATGAGAGAGCAGGTGTTGTATATGGTGAGTTGATAAGAGAGCAGGTATTGTAATAGAGGTGAGTTAATGAGGGAGCATGTGTTGTATATGGTGAGTTGATAAGAAAGCAGGTGTTGTAATAGAGGTGAGTTAATGAGGGAGCAGGTGTTGTATGGAGGTGAGTTGATGAGATAGAAGGTGTTGTATGGAGGTGAGTTGATGAGAGAGCAGGTGTTGTATGGAGGTGAGTTAATGAGAGAGCAGGTGTTGTATATGGTGAGTTGATAAGAAAGCAGGTGTTGTAATAGAGGTGAGTTGATGAGATAGCAGGTGTTGTATGGAGGTTTGTTGATGAGATAGCAGGTGTTGTATGGAGGTGAGTTGATGAGAGAGCAGGTGTTGTATGGTGGTGAGTTAATGAGAGAGCAGGTGTTGTATATGGTGAGTTGATAAGAGAGCAGGTATTGTAACAGAGGTGAGTTGATGAGAGAGCAGGTATTGTATGGAGGTGAGTTAATGAGGGAGCATGTGTTGTATATGGTGAGTTGATAAGAGAGCAGGTATTGTATGGAGGTGAGTTAATGAGAGAGCAGGTGTTGTATATGGTGAGTTGATAAGAGAGCAGGTATTGTAATAGAGGTGAGTTAATGAGGGAGCATGTGTTGTATATGGTGAGTTGATAAGAAAGCAGGTGTTGTAATAGAGGTGAGTTAATGAGGGAGCAGGTGTTGTATGGAGGTGAGTTGATGAGATAGAAGGTGTTGTATGGAGGTGAGTTGATGAGAGAGCAGGTGTTGTATGGAGGTGAGTTAATGAGAGAGCAGGTGTTGTATATGGTGAGTTGATAAGAGAGCAGGTATTGTAATAGAGGTGAGTTGATGAGAGAGCAGGTATTGTATGGAGGTGAGTTAATGAGAGACCAAGTGTTGTAGGGAGTTAATGAGAGAGCAGGTGTTGTATATGGTGAGTTTATATGAGAGCAGGTGTTGTATAGAGGTGAGTTGATCTCTTGTTGATAAGAGATCATGGGGAGGTGAGTTTATTGGGTATCAGGTATTGTATGGAGTCGATTATCATTTTGACACAGACGTAAATGAAGTGATTTGTTTCAGCTGGACAGGATTGCTACACCAGATTCTGGTCTGTGAAGACTGGCCAGCTGCTGAAGACTGTGCCTCCTCCATGCCCAGTGACAAGGGAGACAATCCCAGCCGTGCAGTACTCAACACGATGGGCAGACAAAAAGGGGAACTCAGGGCTCATCATGGGTATTGGAGATAAACTGTATTACTACTGTAGGTCTATATGACAACACCTCATCATCTCTGCTTCTTGCAGACAAAGACTCATCACCAACAGGTGCTCTCACCTCTGCTAAAACATGCTGTTATTTAATACTACACATGATAGAGGCAGATTATTGGATAGCTTTAATTTGTTTGCTGAGAAAGCATAGTATTGTCATGTGATGACTGAGAGACAGAGGTGTATTGTTAGTGTTGGCAACTTGTAATACTTAAGTTAATTTGATATAACTGTACCAGCCCTCTGACACTAGTTCTGTGGAAGTATGGTGAGAGATGCAGTGTTGTGGTAAACATGGTAAGACTAGCAGAACTGTTACCATGGTTATACTACATTTATTATGAATGTTAATATGTTGTGCATGTTAATGCAGAGATAACCATGGTATAGTACGTAACCTGTACGCAAGACGTACAGGTTACCCATTATGTGTAAAAGTGATTACCTGAGAGGGGGTCACACATTCGTGTGCCTCTCTGACCACAGACAGGGGAATTTTACATAACTATCCAAAACGTGTCGAAAAGTGTTATTTTTGGAAAACCATGTAACAAAATTTGGTATTATCATTGATAGTTATTGAACACATACTTGTTGAGGGGAGACTGGTGGTAGTGTGTTGTGTTATGTGCCAAGATACAACATTGTACCATAAGATATTTGAGCTAGTACATGTTGTTTGCCCTGGCTGGTGCTGGGCTTAGGGATGAAACAAGGCGCGCGGTCAGTATTCCATGTCTCAGTGTCGTGATTCATGCGTCTAAATCTACTGCAGGGTTTTACAGTGGGCGAGCTCAACAAATCTACCCTAAATCAATATCAGTATAATCGGAGAGGTGCTTTGTGCTATGTAAGGACAATAATGTGATGTGATGTTAAACCCAACTTGTCCAAGGGGATAACCAAGATTGGTACAGCCTCGGTGTAGTGAGCCAGTTAGCCGCCCTCAGCCGGAGAGCCGGAAGGTCGCTGGGTTTGATCCCCACCGGCCATACCAAAAGACGCTAAAATGTGGTACTTCTGTTGGTCCCTGTCTGGCTACCGGGTATTACTGGAGCGTTGCAACAAGGACTACGGGTCGGCTCGGACTCAGTATAATGTGTCTGAGTGGGGTATTCATGCTTCACTGAGGCATGGTATCTCAGTGGGCTAGCACTATAAAACCAGCTTAAGTCTGGGCTAGTACAAGCAGCCGCACATACACATACACATGCATGCACATCGTCATATGAGGCGAAATATTCTCAAGCACGACATAAACCCAATTTCACCTCACCTCCTCACCAAGATTGGTGGATGCTTTGTGCAAAGTCTTGAACAATAGGTCATTGTGATGTCACACACACCAACAATGGTTGATCCTGTAGATGGGTTTCATTAAGCCGAGATGGGTCTGTGTGCTTTGTTCGATATATTTGCAGATAAGTGTTTGGGACCAAGTCTAACCAGCTCTTTCCACAGTGCTGTGTACTACCACTAAACCTGTGAGGATATTGGGATGGAATCCACCCCATTTGCCATGTTACTTGTTGGTGACTTACTTGTCTGATTGTGTGAATTATTGTATAGGTTCTTGCTCAATCTATGATGGACTTAACTGCATGGCCCAGACTTAACCATTTACAGGTTGACGTTTAATTCTGGAATATCTTTAGACTACTGAGTTAAACATTCACTCTGCCTCTTTCACCAGTTGGGTGTGAAGTATAGCTTGTTCAGCTTGACCTGAGCTGCTCTACATATGCATGACCCGGGAGGTCGATTGGCACAAACGGCAGGTCGAGTTAACTTCATTAAATAGGGGAGTAGATAATGTTATTAATGTTGCCCTTGTCTCGGCTGTTTGGACATATTGACAATCAACTGACATAAGGTGCACCCCTTCACAATAATAGACCCAAACAGTTTTGACACGGTCACGCAATGCATTAGTATTCACTTGATCAGGTCAAGCTGAACAAGCTGTAGCCTTGTGGTTTAAGTGGTTCTTGTCATACTGAAAACCCAGGTTCAATTCCCAATATGGGTACAATTCATGAAGCCCATTTCTGGGAATATTAGCTGAATATTGTTAAAAGCTGTGTTAAATACAACTCGGTAATTCATTCTCTAACATATCAGTGCCATTTCACTGTCACAAATACAACAATGGATGAAGTACTGAAACTTATTTTATTGCAAAATATTGTACAAAGTTGACAGGTACTATTCTCTGTAAGTACAAACACGGACATAATTTTACTGCTGTGATATGAAATAAATAATACAAAATCAAAAATAATTAGTTGTGATTGTTTTTTCATATGACATGAAACTGAAGTTAAAACAAGAAACAGAGACATCTGCTCTCAGAATAATATTAAACAAGTAGTGACTGGTTATCACTGACATGGCACCAAAAGAGGATGTATATCAATTACTAGTATCTGAGATACCTGCATCTTACATGGCTTGGTATCTGCAAAGGTGTCTGGTTAGGGTTAAAAGGGTTAGGGTATCCTGAAGTGTATGGTTATCAGATAACTTGGTATATTTCACATAAGTATCCTTTACAGGAATCACGCAGATGGAAGTCGCCCCTTTCTGATGCTGTGCACTGTGATACTGCCCATCACATTTGTAACGGATTCCTTCTGAAGGATGTGCAGAAGCTATCATCATAGTTTGTGTTGGAGAACAATGGTTTCCTCATGTTGTGAATCACAGAGAATTATATGTTATATGTACAGAAAAACATTTAAAACAAATATGAACTGTGTTCATTCTTTATTAGTACTGACAGACAGAAAGTGGGTATTCCTAGATGCAATAATGCTGCAGTCTAAGATGGATAGAGAAAATGTGTACTGCCACATGACTTTGAGACACTGTACATGACTTATTGACCACTATTTACAAAAGAATACCAACCTCTTGTTTGACTTCACTGGCTACACAGTCGATACACCAGTTATCACATAAGTACAGATATTGACAATACATGCGATACAAAATACTTTATTGCACATGCCCTTGTAAAAAATAAGTTATATCAAAGATGGATGGAACTGATGAGCGTGAGGACTGGTCATTCATTACAGTGGTGGAGGAAGGTGGATTGGTCTCAGGACTGTATCATATTTATAGTTATGACCATTGAGACCTATTTTAGGTAACTATTTTTTTAAACACCCTCCATTTCTCCATAATAAAATATGAGTCTTTGTGTAGAGTTAAACTTTACATTTATTTAATTTTTATCCCCCCCACGCTCCATGAAAGTTGTCATCAATCCTCCTCGGACTCTCTCCTCACCCAACACAGATCTCCAAACCAACTGTCTGACCATGCCTTCTTTGCCAGCCCTCAACTGTGAAACTCTCTTCCAAAGGAAATCAGGAACAATTCTGTTCACCATCTGTTCACTGCTGCCTTTCTGTAAAACCTATATGAACTATTCCTTCCCCAATGTTGTCACATCGCCACTGAGCATCTCTACAGTGGATACTAGGTGCTTAACACCTGTTGCTGTCATTTGTTTCATGACCTCAACCAACCAATCTCCCCTGTACCAAATGACCAGTTCCAAACAAGGGCATTCCGTCCATCACCCTATCTGTCATTTCTATCATCATCATCATCAGCTATCAGGTATCAGGTATCAGGTATCAGGTATCAGGTATCAGGTATCTACCCACAAGGAATCATTGATATTGTGTGACTGATGTACCTCTGCCTTCTTCACCAGATCAGCAATGACTATTCACAGATAGTACTGTCATCCATATTTTAGCTAGGATCATAGTTTTTACAAAAAATAATACATGTACACAAATTGTTCCAAGCTGCAGCCCTTGCCTAGAAGTCTTAATCATATCTATTGTCATGAATATAATACAGACATAAGTGGCACTATGGGCAGTGTCAAACAATCAGAATATGTAAGTAGAGATCAGTCAAATGAAAAATATGGTCCCTTGTGTTAACCTTAAATTTTGTTCGAACATATTTCGCCACACCTGTTCAAAATAGAAAATACCCTCTGCTTATAAGTCCATATTATTCCCAGTGTTATATTGGTATTACATATTGTTGACTAATCATGTATTATTTGAAAATGGCATATTTATCATGTTGATGTTTCAATTCATAAAATCTTGGATGGCTTGGCTAAGCCATTTACAATATGATGACAATGGGTAGATTGTTGTACATGTGACTTATGCACCAATGTTTCCCAACTATTCCTTGGTTCCCCGACCACCGATGTGGTGGCGCTAATGGTTGATGCTGCTGTAGGTGTGGTTCATCATAGATGTGTGTCTGTAAACACTGTCTGTTCCCGGGTGTAGCTGTACGCAGGTCCATTCAGACTTTCTGCATCCTCGTCATACTGCAATATAGAAAACACATATTTATTACTTGCCCTTTGAAGATACCACTGTATAAGTACAATCAGTTGGAACACAGGCAAACTGTAGTGCAAATAGGGTTGCGCAACAAAGAAAAATTACCAGTCTTTCAGTATGCGAGCGAAGCGTTCAAAGGTTGGCAACGTGCTTCTCTTGTTTCGGTTCGAAAAATATTTTTAATATGAAAATAAAATACCACCACCATCAAGTATTAAAAACTCTCAACATTGTTGGGCTTATTCAGTAACATTGTGTGTGGAGATGACAGATCACTGAGAAGTGCTTAAGGACAAATGATGGCCCGGCATGGAGGTATGTAGAAATCTGGACCAGAAAATCCTGTGATGGAGATCTTGAGTATCGATCAATACCATTCATATAATAAAATCCATTAACTAAGTCGGCACAGCTCACAAGCTGATCCTGTTAGTTGCCTCCTTTGCCAGTTGTGGATGCTGAAGACCCATTTCAACTTTGCCCTTCATGAATCTAGTACAGAGGTGATGCTGGTTACAACGATATTTCACTCTGTATGCGCTGACCTGTGGATACCCTGTGAACTTGAACTCGAAACTTTTAGCCTATGTGGCTTCTAGGATAAGCAGAGCGCCTCCGTGGTGTAGTGGATAGAGTGTCTTTCTGGAGAGCAGAATGTCGCGGGTTTGATCCCCAGACGCACCATACCAAAAGACGTTAAAATATGGTACTTGTTGTTCCCTGCCTAGCTACCGCATTAATGGGTACAAGGACTGGTCGGCTCGGAGTCAGTATTATGTGTCTGAGTGGGGTATTCATGCTTAACTGCGGCATGGTATCTCAGTGAGCTAGCACTATAAAACCAGCTTAAGTCTAGGCTAGTACAAGCAGCCACACATACACATGCATGCACATTGTCATATGAGCGAAATATTCTTAAGTATGACATAAACGCCATTTCACCTCACCTCCAGGACAAGCATCATGATCTGGGCCTAGATGTTCGAAGCTCTCTTAGCGCTAGGACAGTCGTAAGTGCCATACTTCACACTCACCCATCCACTGTCAAAGTTCTTGTCCCAGTAAACATCCTCCTCCTCTTCTGTTTTGGAGGAGTGAGAGAGTTTGTCGAAGGAATACCGC